CCTTCTACGGCCCTGTCCACCTCTCATAGAGTCTCCTGGAATCTCCTCCATGCTCTTGAGACTGTGCTGGGAGACACAGCAAACCTTCTGGCAATGGCACGTATTGTTGTGCCAAACTGGAGGAGTTGGACTGTCTGTGCAACCTCTGTAGGGTCCAGGTATCAGCTCATGCTACTAGTAGTGACACTGATCCTAGACAAATGCAAAACTAGTGAAAAACAGTCAGAAAAAATTAGTAGGGAAAAAAATGTCAGTGGCCTCCACCTGTAAAAGCATTCCTGTTTTGGGGGTCATCTCATTTCTGCCCATCTAGTGCACCTGTTGTTAACTTCACTAACACCAAGGCAGCTGAAACTGATTAACAACCCCTCTGCTACTTAACTGACTAAATCAATATCCCAGGAGTTTATTTGATTTGATGCTATACTCTGATTAAAAACACACACACATACATACATACTTTTAGTCCGTAAGGTTCAATATTGATTTGGCTCACCCTTTGCAACTAGAACATCTTCAACTCTTCTGGGAAGGCTGTCCACAAGGTTTAGGAGTGTGCCTATGGGAATATTTGACCATTCTTTCAGAAGCGCATTTGTGAGGTCACTGATGTCGGACGGCCTGGCTCCCAGTCTCCACACTAATTCATCCCGAAGGTGTTCTATCGGGTTGAAGTCAGGACTCTGTGCAGGCCAGTCAAGTTCCTCCACCCAACTCACTCATCCATGTCTTTATGGTCCTTGCTTTGTGCACTGGTGTGCAGTCATGTTGGAACAGGAAGGAGCCATCCCCAAACTGTTCCAACAAAGTTGGGAGCATGAAAATGTCCAAAATGTCTTGGTATGCTGACACCTTAAGAGTTCCCTTAACTGGAACTAAGGGACCAGGCCCAACCCCTGAAATACAACAGTTTGTGAATTCTGTGCACTGGGCGCTTCAGCATGCGCTGACCCTGCTCTGTCATTTTACATGGCCTACCACTTCGTGGCTAAGCTTCTGTTTTTCCCAGGTGCTTCCACTTTGTTATAATACCTCTAACAGTTGAGCGTGGAATATTTAGTAGCAAGGAAATGTCACGGATGGACTTATTGCACAGGTGGCAACCTATCACGGTATCACGCTTGAATTCACTGAGCTCCTGAGAGCGACCCATTCTTTCACAAATGTTTGTAGAAGCAGTCTGCATGCCTAGGTGCTTGATTTTATACACCTGTGACCATGGAGGTGATTGGAACACATAAATCCAATGATTTGGAGGGTTGTCCCAATACTTTTGGCAATATACTGTGTGTGTGTATACAGTCAGGTCCATAAATATTGGGACATCGACACAATTCTAACATTTTTGGCTCTATACACCACCACAATGCATTTGAAATGAAACGAACAAGATGAGGTTTATCTGCAGACTGTCAGCTTTAATTTGAGGGTATTTACATCCAAATCAGATGAACGGTGTAGGAATTACAACAGTTTGCATATGTGCCTCCCACTTGTTAAGGGACCAAAAGTAATGGGACAATTGGCATCTCAGCTGTTCCATGGCTAGGTGTGTGTTATTCCCTCATTATCCCAATTAAAATGAGCAGATAAAAGGTCCAGAGTTCATGTCAAGTGTGCTATTTGCATCTGGAATCTGTTGCTGTCAACTCTCAAGATGAGATCCAAAGAGCTGTCACTATCAGTGAAGCAAGCCATCATTAGGCTGAAAAAACAAAACAAACCCATCAGAGAGATAGCAAAAACATTAGGCGTGGCCAAAACAACTGTTTGGAACATTCTTAAAAAGAAGGAACGCATCGGTGAGCTCAGCAACACCAAAAGACCCGGAAGACCACGGAAAACAACTGTGGTGGATGACCGAAGAATTCTTTCCCAGGTGAAGAAAACACCCTTCACAACAGTTGGCCAGATCAAGAACACTCTCCAGGAGGTAGGTGGATGTGTGTCAAAGTCAACAATCAAGAGAAGACTTCACCAGAGTGAATACAGAGGGTTCACCACAAGATGTAAACCATTGGTGAGCCTCAAAAACAGGAAGGCCAGATTAGAGTTTGCCAAACAACATCTAAAAAAGCCTTCACAGTTCTGGAACAACATCCTATGGACAGATGAGACCGAGATCAACTTGTACCAGAGTGATGGGAAGAGAAGAGTATGGAGAAGGAAAGGAACTGCTCATGATCCTAAGCATACCACCTCATCAGTGAAGCATGGTGGTGGTAGTGTCATGGCGTGGACATGTATGGCTGCCAATGGAACTGGTTCTCTTGTATTTATTGATGATGTGACTGCTGACAAAAGCAGCAGAATGAATTCTGAAGTGTTTCGGGCAATATTATCTGCTCATATTCAGCCAAATGCTTCAGAACTCATTGGACGCGCTTCACAGTGCAGATGGACAATGACCCAAAGCATACTGCAAAAGCAACCAAAGAGTTTTTTAAGGGAAAGAAGTGGAATGTTATGCAATGGCCAAGTCAATCACCTGACCTGAATCCGATTGAGCATGCATTTCACTTGCTGAAGACAAAACTGAAGGGAAAATGCCCCAAGAACAAGCAGGAACTGAAGACAGTTGCAGTAGAGGTCTGGCAGAGCATCGCAGGGATGAAACCCAGCGTCTGGTGATGTGTATGCGTTCCAGACTTCAGGCTGTAATTGACTGCAAAGGATTTGCAACCAAGTATTAAAAAGTGAAAGTTTGATTTATGATTATTATTCTGTCCCATTACTTTTGGTCCCTTAACAAGTGGGAGGCACATATGCAAACTGTTGTAATTCCTACACTGTTCACCTGATTTGGATGTAAATACCCTCAAATTAAAGCTGACAGTCTGCAGTTAAAGCACATCTTGTTCATTTCATTTCAAATCCATTGTGGTGGTGGTGTATAGAGCCAAAAATGTTAGAATTGTGTCGCTGTCCCAATATTTATGGACCTGACTGTATGTATGTATATATATATATATATATATATATATATATATGTGTGTGTGTGTGTATATATATATATATATGTGTGTGTGCGCGCGCGCGTGTGTGCGTATATATACATATATTTGGACAAAAATATAGAAACACTACATGATTTGCAGATGTGAAAGTGACAGCATGTTTCACGTTAAAAGAGGAAGTGATGTAACTTTCTTTTGCTTCCGCTGTGTGATGAGACACCTAGCTAACAGGTGGGAAGTCTCACTTTCGTCATTCACTGGGTGCACTATGGTAATACAGAGTCAAGCTTACTGAGCTTCAAAGACAGCAAATTGTTGGTGCTGCTTAGCTGGATCTTGATTTTTCCAGGCATGTGCTCCCTGGATCTGGTCACAAAGAGACTTCTACTCTGTGATGTTGCTTTGTACTCTTTATTATTTAAGTGTGGTAGACAGTATATTCTATTTATATGTTGGATGGAATTTATATTTTCCAATAAAACAAATGAAAATTTAAAATTCTAATTAAAATAAGTGCACACAGGATACACAAACATACTATGCACTGTGTGTGTGTGTGTGTGTGTATATATATATATATATAAATAACATTTTGTGAGTGCAGCATAAGGCTCTTTTCAGGGAAGACACTGTTTGGATCAGAAGGTGATCTGTCTGCTTATCTCTGCTGATCATAGCAGAGCAGGTGAATGACAGGTCCACGTCCACTCAGCAGGCCTGAACTGGCCATAGAGCACAACAGGTACTCGCTCAGTGGGTTGGGGCTGCTGGGCCTAAGAAGAGCAGCCTGTTGATGACCAGGCTGCGCAATGGGAGGTAAGCAGGCGACCGCTGTCTGGGCAGGTCCAACACAGACCGTGGCTGCCTCTTACCTCCCGCTATGCCAAAAGCAGGGCCGACAGGAGGAGAGACAGAGACGGCTCCAGCGACAAGCTGGAAGCGCCACAGGGGATACAGAAACACCTCCCAGGCCAGCTGCTGCACACACAGCGGCACTGATAGGATAATGGTGGCCTCTCTCTTTCTCTGGTCAGCACACTGTGACAGCCAAAAAATCCCGCTCTGTAGCGGCGGTGGATTGGACTCTCTTTGCTGGGTGGGCTGTCTTTTTGCTGGACGGGATGTCTCTTTGCTGGACGGGATGTCTCTTTGCTGCACGGGGATGTCTCTTTGCTGGACGGGGATTCCTCTTTGCTGTATGGGGATGCCTCTTTTTTGGATGGGAGGTATTTGCCGGTTCCCCATCCAGCAAAGAGACATCTGGTCTCTTTGCTGGATGGGAATGTCTTTGTTATATGGGGATGTCTCTTTGGTGGTTTGGGATATCTCTTTACTGGATTGGGTTATTTCTTTGCTATATGGGGCTGTCTCTTTGCTATACAGGGATATCGCTTCTGTATTGTGCTGTCTCTTTGCTGGATGTGGATGTATCTTTGCTGAATATATAGGGGGCACTGTGGTTAGATTTCTAGGGGCTCTGTAATATAAAGGGAACTGCACTGTAATCAATACAGTCCCCCTTTACAGTGCAGTCCCCTTTATATCACAGAGCCCCTTTACATTACAGCAGGGGGGCCCGACTCTGCGAAGATTAGATCCCCAAAGCCCTTGTATTTCTGTAGAAACTCGTAGGTTTTCTTCCAAGTATCTATTATTACAGCACACAGTAACGCTTGAAGATTTTTCTTCATTCAGATTATATACAGAACTGTAAACAACCTCGGCCGTTTTTCCATAATGCATTTTTTGTTGAGTTTTAAAAAGATAGCCGTGTATTGTTCGTTCTCTCCAGCCCACATTGCACTCAGTAAGTCCACACCATGATGGCCTCCGCTCCGGAAATGAAGACACGTATACTATGGTAGTTGTACACCTAGCAATGCAAAGCAACTTCCGCCCAAACCTATTTTAACTTCCGGTGCAGCTCGGCTTCCGTTTTGTGTTTCAGTTTATTTGAACGTCGGCTTTTGTCATCAATCTCTCAGTGTGGTGATAAAGGTGTGAGGTCCATCGGCCCGGGTGGTGTGCTGCGTGCGAGCCGTCATGAAGCTGGTCAGGTAGGTGAGGGAGGGGAGCCGGATGGACATGGATTGTGGACGGCGGGAAGGGAGATTTGGAGCTGCGCTGAGTGCTGCGATCTCGGCGGCGCCACAAAATGCCGGGGGTGGGCTGTCCGTCGCCTGGTAGCGGGAGTTCATTGTATTCGTCTGTGTTCCAGGTTCCTGATGAAACTCAGTCATGAGACGGTGACGGTGGAGCTGAAGAATGGCACTCAGGTGCATGGCACCATCACAGGTGGGATGAATGAATGAAACCTCACTTGTAGGGTATGGCGGGTCTCCGGGGCTCAGCTCTGACCATCGGCCTGTATAGAATACACCCCTGAGCTGAGGGAAGAACAATGGCAGCCCCTTCCTCACCTGCACTGATCTCATCCCTGGGGACACCCCAGTTCTCTGCTCAGTGCAGGCCTGTGTACACCCGGGGACAGGACAGACTTGATGTCACCACTCTGCATGGATGCTCACATGTCACAATAAAGTAAGGAAGGGCTAAAACCCCTGTTACACCACCCCCCCCCCCCCCCCCCCGATCCGTTTCCCATTTAGGAGATTTCCTTTTACTTCCTGTCCAATAACCAAAACAGGAAGTGAGAAAATCCTTTTAGACCCGGTTCACACTAATGCGGTGAGAGAAACGCAGCGAGTCCCGTGCGTTTTCCACACATTGCAATTGCATCGCGTTCATGTGATCTGGTGCGGGTGTCAGTGATAAATGAATGACACCCCAAAAATGTGATTGCCAGAAAAGCCCATGGAATGCGATTCGGATGCAGATTTAAAAAAAAGGGTCCTGCACAGTTTTTTGGTGCGGATGCAATGTGATTTGAGCCATCCAAAGTGTATGGCTCAGATCGCACCGCACGGATATTTGCATGTAATTTGCACTGGAATGCGGTGCGCTTCCTGCGGTGTCCCACACTTCATAGTGTCGACCGCGGCTTAAAGTGAGGGAACCCTGGTTGTCACCACACCTAGTTTCCCCGTTGAAAGATTTCCCTTCTCTGAGGGCTCATTCACAGCATGGTGCAGAACAGTCAGTTTTTCTGCCCGTTTTCTGCAAAGGCACAGCAAAATCAATTGTAAGCTCCAAGGGTCAGGGCCCTCCTAACCCTCTTGTATTGAACTGTATTGTAAAGCGCTGTATATGTATGTATATGTATATATTGTAAAGCACTGTATATATGTGTAATGTGTGTGTGTGTGTGTATATATATATATATATATATATATATATTCACACACACATATATACAGCGCTTTACAATATATACATATACACATATATATATATATATATATATATATATATGTGTGTGTGTGTATATATATATATATATATATAGTAAAGCGCTGTATATATGTGTGTGTATATGTATAAGCGGTATATATATATATATGTGTGTATAGCGCTGTGTGTGTGTATAATATATGTATATATATATATATATATATAGTAAAGCGCTGTATCTGTGTGTATGTATGTATGTGTGTATATATATATATATATATATATTGTAAAGCGCTGTGTGTGTATATATGTAAAGCGCTGTGTATGTATGTATGTATATATATATCACTATGACTCACATAAAAAGATATATATAATATATATATATATACAGTGTAATATTCAGTGCAATATAAACACTCAGTGCTCTGATCCACTTGGATCTAATCAGGTGCCATTAAGGTGAAATACACAGGATAACCTGTTACAGATATAGTGGATCCCTTTTTCCTAATGGAAAACAATCAAACCTCCCCCTGTCCCTAGAGGGACTTGAAGTGGTTATTATGTGACCCCTTACGAGGGGGTAAAAAAACAATGCACAAGTGTATAGTGCCAATAATTGATGAACAAATTCCAGCAAACATTTATACACATATATGAATCTAAATAGTCCACCAACTTCCAGTGACGCACTTCTGGTTGGACGCCATATTGGTACACTATACAGACCCATGCAGTACCCCCATATTATGAGGTGTAAAAGCGCTTTCTGGAGGAGACAAATGTGAGTGGGCTAATTGACTTTTCATTGTTATATATTGCCTAATAAACGTTATTGCACTATGAAGGATGTTCCTGCTTGTGTCTTAACAACATGGCCCTGATGGGAATGTGACCTGAGAGGGGTATTGAGAAAAGGACCCTAAGCGGTATCTCCACCTGGATGAGTTCAGTTTCCTCAGGATCGTGATGTGTGATCCTCTAAGACGAGTTGGCCCTTGTGGTCAAGGTTTGGAGGTGAGGGGGCATTTCTGCCATTTGGAGGATTTTGTCACCTGAGTGAAGACCACCTGATCACGTGCACCAGTGTTTGTTTAAAGACCACATCTATGTGATATTGGACCATTTAGATTCATATATGTGTTTAAATGTTTGCTGGACTTTTGTTCATCAATTATTGGCGCTATACACTTGTGCATTGTTTTTTTACCCCTCGTAAGGGGTCACATAATAACCACTTCAAGTCCCTATAGGGACAGGGGGAGGTTTGATTTTTTTTCCATTAGGAAAAAGGGATCCACTATATCTGTAACAGGTTATCCTGTGTATTTCACCTTAGTGGCACCCGATTAGATCCAAGTGGATCAGAGCACTGAGTGTTTATATTGCACTGAATATTACACTGTATCTATCTTTTTATGTGAGTCATAGTATTGTTGTCATACTCCAGTAATACTCTTTATTTTAGTGTGTAACATGATTAGCGCTTCACCATTTATTTAATCATTGCTAACAAATCGCCTCCTAAATGATAGCATGCTGTAGTAACAGGTTGTCTTCATCAAGACTGAGACTAATGGTGTAGATGGCTGGGTGGAAAGTGGAAATTTCCCCTTATTTAAAAAAAAACAAAAACAAAACAAACCACAATTTTTGGTAACTGACTGAAGAGGTAGATTTTTCTCCTGTGTATATCTGTCAGGGATTTCCAGTTTATCCTCTATAGTTCACATTTAGGCACTTTAACCACCTCCCCCCGCCATATAAGGAAATGACTGGTGGGCGGTTTCTGGGAGGACGTCATATGATGTCCTCCCATTTCAACTGCACGTGCGCGCCCCCGAGGGTCGCTGTGTCCCTAGGACGCAGTGGTTCACCGATCAGAGTAAAGGGCTGATGACGTCGGCTCTGTCTTGATCAGCTATGTCCCAATCACAGCTGATCACATTTAAATAGGAAATGCCAGTTATTGGCAGATCTTTCCTCAAGCTGACAGCGCGTGAGGAGAGCAATAATCGGCATTCCTCAGAGGGGACATCTACACTGATCATCAGGACACTGGTGATCAGTCACCCGATTATCAGCGTAGCCCCGTCAGTGCCACCTGTCAGTGCCCATCAATGCCACATACCAGTGCACATCAATCCCACATATCAGTGCCGCCTATAAATGCCCGTCAGTGCGGCCTAACAGTTGCAATCAGGGCCACCTTTCAGTACTCATCATTGATGCCTATCAGTGCCCATCACTGCAGCCTCATTAGCACACATCAGTGAAGGAGAAAAATTACTTATTTACAAGATTTTATAACAAACGTTTTTTTTTTTTTTTTCTTCTTCAAATTTTTCAGTCTATTTTTGTGTTGCAAAAAATAAAAATCCCAGTAGTGATTAAATACCACCAAAAGAAAGCTCGATATATCTAAAAAAAAGTAAAAAAAATTGTTTGTCTACAGTGTTGCATGATCGTGCAATTGTCATTCAAAGTGCGACAGCGCTGAAAGTTGGAAATTGGCCTGGGCAGGAAGGGGGTAGAAGTGCCCTGTAGGCAGGAAGGGGGTAGAAGTGCCCGGTAGGCGAGGGGTTAAGTTTAAAGCTAAACAGAAGTAATGTCTAAATAAAGTCTGTAGGAGTTTTGATGAAATTGTAGGTACATGGAAAGGAAGCTGGTTATATGAACAAGCTTAGAAAGAATTGATAAATGACTGATTCTCTGAATGATCTAAAGTTGAGTGGGGTGCCCCTCAGTCCTTTCTTGGGGTCAGTGATGTTTGATTTGTTAACAATCTAGAGGTTGAAATCAAGAGCTTAACTCTAGTATTGGACAAATTATGCCAGGAAGTAACTTTGGCACAAAATGCAGCATCATTACAGGGAGGTCTAGGCAGCTACAAGGCAATAGTCCTAGCACCAGACGACCTCCATAACAGGAAACTGATAACCTATAAGGGATTTTAAAAGTGTCACCTATAGAAAGTATAGGGTACTAAAGTTTGTTGCCATTTCATGAGCGCACACAAATTTAAGGTTTGGCTTATTGGGTATCTATTTACTCGGTGCAACCTCATTTTGTTTTATATTTTACATAAAAAATGTGGGTAATTTATTGTGTTCTTGTGCCCTAAAATTAAATTGTGATGTTTTTTACTAAAAGTTTGTATTCCTTAGAGCTTTTTGGTAATATTGTTAGAGAATAAAATAGAGGTAGTTCCAATTTTTTTATGTCAAAGGTTTCTGCTTTCAGAAAATTTATATTATGTTTTGGGCGTTTACAGTAAAGGAAATAAGTATTTGATCCCCTGCAGATTTTGAATGTTTGCCACTCACAAAGAAATGATCAGTCTAAAAATCAAATGGTAGGTGTACTGTAAACACTGCGAGACAGAATAGAAACAAACAATTCAAAAGAAATGCATGTCTAACATATTATGCACTGATTTGCATGTTCATGAGGGAAATAAGTATTTTGATCCCCTATCATTCAGCAGGATTTCTGGCTACCAGGTGTCTTTCATACAGATATCAAGCTGAGATTAGAAGCAGTCTCTTAAAGGGAGTGCTGCAAATCTCATTTTGTTACTTGTATAAAAGACCCCTGTCCACAGGAGCAATCAAACAATCAGCTTCTAAACTCTCCACCATGGCAAAGACCAAAGAGCTGTCCAAGGATGTCGGGGACAAGATTGTAGCCTAAACAAGGCTGGACTGGGCTACCAAACTATGGCCAAGCAGCTTGGTGAGAAGGTGACAACAGCTGGTGCAATCATTTGGAAATGGGAGAAATACAAAGCAACTGTCTGTCTCCCTAGGTCTGGTGCACCATGCAAGATCTCACCTCGTGGAGTGTCAATGATCATGAGAACAGTGAGGAATCATCCCAGAACTACACGTGAGGATCTTGTCAATGATCTCCAGGCAGCTGGGACCACGGTCACCAAGAAAACAATTGGTAACACACTACGCCGACAAGGACTGAAATCCTGCAGTGCCCGCAAGGCCCCTCTGCTCAAGAAAGCACATGTCCAGGCCCGTCTGAAATTTGCCACTGAATATCTGAATGATGCAGAGGAGGATTGGTTGAAACGTTGTGGTCAGATGAGACCAAAATCCAGCTCTTTGGCATCAACTCAACTCGCTGTATTTGGAGGAGGAGGAATGCTGCCTATGATCCCAAGAACACCATCCCAACTGTCAAACATGGTGGTGGAAACATTCTGCTTTAGGGGTGTTTTTCTGATAAGAGGACAGGACAACTGTACCGCATCAAAGGGACGATGGACGGGACAATGTATCGTCAAATCTTGGGTGAGAACCTTCTTCCCTCAGCCAGGGCATTGAAAATGGGTCGTGGATGGGTGTTCCAGCATGACAATGAGCCAAAACACACGGCGAAGGCAACAAAGGAATGGCTCAAGAAGACGCACATTAAGGTCCTGGAGTGGCCTAGCCAGTCTGATTGAAAATCTGTGGAGGGAGCTGAAAGTTCGAGTTGCCGAACATCAGCCACCAAACCTTAAAGACTTGGAGAGGATCTGCCAAGAGGAGTGGGCCAAAATCCCTCCTGAGATGTGTGCAAACCTGGGGGCTAACTCCAGGAAACGTATGACCTTTGTGATTGCCAACAAGGGATTTGCCACCAAGTACTAAGTCATGTTTTGTGAAGGGGATCAAATACTTATTTCCTTCGTGAACATGCAAATCGGGGCATAATCTATTAGACATGCTTTTCTTTTGCATTTTTTGTTGTTTGATTTTTAGACTGGTCATTTCTTTGTGAGTGGGCAAACATTCAAAATCAGCAGGGGATCAATTACTTATTTCCTTCACTGTATGTAAGCTTCAGGCCTAAAATAATTTTTAAAATGTGCAAAAAAACACAAAAAGGGCTCTGGCAGCGAAAGGGATAAAGGATAAGTTCACCTCTAGGAACATGTGACATGTTCCACTTGTTTTTACGGTTTAACCAATAACCTGTTCCTGCAGCAGCTCAGCGATCCTAGCCTTCAGTGTGATAGCAGTGCAGGGAGAAGTTCCCCATACCAGCTATCCGTTTTTTGAAAAGAGTGCGGCTGTGTGGGTCTCCACTCTCGCAGCCCCGTCATCCATTCACAGAATTGTGTGAATGAATCATCTATGAGTATCGAAATCCTTTGCGGCTGTCTGCTTGTAGTTCTCAGTGAACTGCCACGGCACTGTTGAGCGCTCTGGTAGTTGATTCATTCTTCCTGTCTGTCTGCCTGTATGATGTACAAGATCTGCTGATCGCTGGTGCAACGCTTTATAGGCTTTTTTTTACCTGCAAAAAAAAGTGCATTCTTTGTTTTGGTTTTAAAGGTGAACTTGTCCTTTAACCGCTTGCCCACTGCCCTATAGCAGATGTACTGCTACAGGGAGGCATGGCTGCGCAAAATCACGTGTGTGTGTGTGTATATATATGTGATTTGCAGTTCTGGGTAGGGGGCGTGTGCCGCTATTGGCTGCTGGGGATGTCAATCACTGGGTCCTGGCCAGCGATTCTCGTCTGGGATTCAGTGATCGTTGGCAGGGCTGAGAGGGGAGAGATCTGTGTATAAACACAGGTTTCTCTCCCAGTCAGCATGGACATGCTGCTTTGTATCTCTCTGCACAGCAAAGCAGCAGTCTCCCAAGTAAAACCGCACACAATGTAAAACACAGCACACACTTAACCCTTTGATCGCCCCAGATGTTACAGTACAGTGTCAGACCTTTTTATTAGCACTGATCACTATATTAGTGTCACTGGGGATGTCAGTGGCAGTTAGCCAGCTCCCACCCAATGTCAGAATGCCCACTGCACTCCCGCTACAAGTCGCTGATTGCCATCATTACTAGTATTAAAGAAAAAAATTCCACTATATAAACCGCCATTTGTAGTCTGTAACATTCACGTAAACCAATTAATGTACACTCATTTCATTTATGTACAGCGTTGCATGACCGCACAATTGTCAGTTAAAGTAACGCAGCACCGTATCGCAAAAAATGGGCTGGTCAGGAAGGGGAGTAAATACTCTGGAGGGCAAATCATTAACCTCTTCCCTAAGAGACTGCTACAGCGCGGTTGTCTAGTTCTGGGAGGATGTCCATGGACGTCCTCCAGAACACGCCCCCTGCGTGCTGCCAGTGATCGCTGTGTCCTATGGTAAACGGCCAATCACAGCGTCCTTTTACCACGTGATCAGCTGTGTCTAATGATCACAGGGTAAATACAGTTGCCGGTTATCGGCTGCAATTTTCTCATGCTGTCACAACGTGAGGAAAGTACTGCCGATAACTGGGCTCGTTCACACTTGACTGTTTTACCAATGCTTGCCAAACACCCCTATAGCGTTTGCAAGAGTTGGTCCGGCGTTTGCGGAGCGTTTTTTAATGCTCGGCAAACGCATGCGCGGTTCAGCGGCGTTTGCTAGGCGTTTGCTGAGTGTTAAAAATGCCCCACAAACGCCTGTAATGAAGTTTGAATGGTGTTACCGCTCCGCAAACGAGCGGCACTATAGGCTAGAATAGGAGGCTTCAACGCCTCCTGACTCAACCAGAGGCGTCCGTTTTGACGTAACGCTCCCGTTAGAACAGCACCATGTGCTGCAATGTGCAGAATTGTCAGAGGTGTTTGGGAAGCAGTAAAAACGCTTCCCAAACGCCTCTCTGCCGCCTGCACACAACGCTAGTGTGAACGTAGCCTTAATCTTATGCCTCATACACACTATAAGAAAATCGTATGAAAATTTTCGTACGAGGACCGATCGTCCGATAATCGGATCGTTAGTACACAGCTTTTGAGAGCCGATCACGACAATTCATACGACAATATCCGAAGGGACACGCGCAAAACTTTTTATCGTACGATTTTCGTTTAATCGGTACAGTAATCGTCTGAAAATACAATACAAATACAACGCAATACATGACATCACTTTCGAAATTCTTTTCTTTCATAGGAGAATTTTCGTATCTTTAGTAACCTCTTCACTTTCGACGTGAGACTAGCAGACGAAAACAAAACGGCCGATCGTTCGTCTGATATTCTCATCGTGTGTACAGGGCATTCGATTGCAGAAAGAGTTCTTTACTTTTAGAGCAGTAAAAATGCGGAACTCCCTCTCTCAGGAAGTGATGCTAGCCGAGTGTCGACAACTTTCATATGTCTTCCTCAGGAAGCAGAATATACATGGCTATGGGAATTGTCAGAAAATAATCACATGTATATGCACACAGAGATTGAAACGGATTGACCTGTCTTTTTCAACCTTACAAACTTTGTAACTATGTAATACAAGAAGGGTTCCTATTTGTATCTTGGTCTCTGCTTTGTGTATTTCTTCCATATATGTGAGGTGAACAAGTGTGAAAAGGCTTCAGCACTTCGCCTCTGTGCAGGTAGCTCCAAGACATCAGCGGCATTGCAGTGATGGTATCAAATGTTGCAGAAAGTTGATCATTCGGCAGCTGTGCCCACATTATGGACATTGCACTAGTTACATATTGACAAACAGTAAAATGGCTATAATCAAGCCATCCCTGACCTCTCTACCTGCATGCAATGTGAAGTTAGGCCTGGTTCACACCAATGCAATTTGTTTTTGCTTTTTGCAGAAACGCACTACAGTCCATTTAACATGGTTTCCTATGGGACACGTTCACATCTATGCTTTTTTGAGCTGCTGTGTTTTTGGAAAGGGTCAGGGTCTTTTTTTTTTTTTTTTTTTAACATGCAAAACGTTGCGGTTTTCCTTCAATAGCCTTCAGTGCAGATGCTGCAGAAAACGAATGTAGTGCATTTTTGATGAGTTTTTAATCTGCCCAGCAACAAGTTGGCCCAAAAATAAAGAAACCTGCAAAACGCGTCACTCGTGTGAAAAAACGCACCACCAAAAAGCTTTGCAAAATGGACAAATCGCATACTGCATTGGTGTGAACCAGGCCTTATTCATTGTCAGAATCCCAGAAAAGACTGAAGCCTGGTTTCAGTTGGTTTCTAGTAGTTTAGCAACACCTGCTGATTTGGATGGCTGATAGGCTGCCTAGATTCTGTTCTAATACAAAAGAAAAAAAAAAAGTGTCTGTGTTATGAAATTTGAAAATTCATTTGTTCACGGTGCTTAAAGGTACAGAGGTGAATGAGGGAGGGTCTGTTTTTAAAATTCAAATGTGTAAACATTGTAGTGTGTATGGGCACATGTTCTCTAAATCCTTCCGTGGCAAGATACCCAGCTCAACCTTGTGGCCCTAGATTAAAGTGTGCTACACATTTCACCTGTTCTTCTATAAGTAGTGATCTGGAAAGAAGTGGCTTCTGAGAACTGACGGTTTATGGTGTATCTTAATGTCTTTGTGGTTACTTCCTATCCTTCCTACATCCTTCCTAGTGTAACATTTTCTCTTCTGTTTTCAGGGGTTGATGTAAGCATGAATACACATTTGAAAGCTGTCAAAATGACTGTAAAGAACAGAGAACCTGTCCAGCTGGAGACTTTGAGTATACGGGGCAATAACATCCGATACTTTATTCTACCAGACAGTTTGCCCCTTGATACCTTGCTTGTTGATGTTGAACCAAAAGTTAAGTCTAAGAAAAGAGAAGCTGGTAAGTACTGGTGTTACTTATTTTATGTTTCACTTTTATTTTTTTCATTCTTTTTTTTTTTTTTTTATTTTTTTATTTATTCATTTCATAGTTTTCATAAGTTTTCATAATGTTTTTAAGTTTGTGGTACAGACACTCCATCAAAAATACAGTAGACCACTTCTGACAAATACAGCAAAATGTTAAATGTTGGGAATCTGGTGTCTAGGAGTGGGCTTGAGACTGAGCTCAGAGCTAAAACCCTTAAAGGGCCACAATGCAAGCCTAAAGATCAGATCTAATTCTACTCTTCACCGATGGCATAAGAGGGTCATCTACTAGTTATCAACATACAAAAGGAGAACCTTACATAAAATAGGGCATAGAACCCTTTTTTGTGAAATGAAAGCTGCAAAAATAGAAAGGAATAAAGGCAAAAGGAAGTAATCTGTCCTCTAAGTCAGGGACACGCTTCCCCAAACATAAGTAGGGAACTATCAATAAGGAAAATATATGCGAGCGCACACAAAGAAAATATAGCAGCTGTGCACCAGGTAACCATAAAACCTCTAAAAAAACAATATAAATCAGGAGTGCAGCGCTAGAAGAAAACACAATATGAATATAAATCATTAGGTAAACCGGTCATATAGTGACTTGAAGTGACGTGAGGTGCTTTCATGTAACTGTATCCTCCTGTTGGTAAGGTGCTGTGATATAAAGTGCGGAAAGAATGCGCACTCACCAGAACGCACAATTAAATGAGCGTTTATATATATATATTTCTTTCTCCTGATGTCATCTGCCAGTCTGGGTAGTGTCTGGAATCCAGTATATTCCCTTCAATGATCCTGGATGCTTTTAATAGGACATCAGGGTGGTCCAGAGTTTCCCTCAGATGATAGCCTAGGGACTGCTCTATAGGGGTTGTAAAGGCTCCCTCTCCGGTGGTCAGCTGTGGATTAATACTCCCCAGGGGAGTCAAAGCAGAGACATCTCCATAGTGTAGTAAGGTATACGGATTTATTGAGGTATACGAAGATTCTTTAGCAAATGAATGGATAAAAACAACAACAACATGGACTAACCATCCAGTGCATAAGATGGCCGCCGGAGCTCCACGATGCTCTGGCGGCGTGACGTCACGGCGTTGCTGGCTCCTCCTACGCGTTTCGTGCGCACGCACGTCGTCTGGGGGGACTTGCCAAACTAGGGAAGTAGGGAACTGTATATAGTGCATCCACAGGTTCCTCTTAGATCTGTTTATCCTGTAAAATGCTTGCCAAGTTTTCACGTGGCATAATCCAGGAGATTTTATGTTTGGTCACCACAATATCCACCGCTGCTAACAGACATGTAAAAGAAGAGTGCCTGGGAATATCTTATATTGATTGCACAGGGAGAGCTCCAGGAACTGTTTTGGGGATATTGATATTGGTGGAGTGGATCAGAGTATATATATTCTTTTCCAAAACTTCTTCGTTTTTGGACAGGTCCACCACATGTGGAAAACTGTACTTTTTTGTTTGCAGTCTATACAAAAAACTGGAAAGGCTTTGGAATAGATCTTATTTAACCTAGCAGAGATGGGGGATGAATTACTATATGGGGGATGAATTACTATATGGGGGATGAATTACTATATGGGGGATGAATTACTATATGGGGGATGAATTACTATATGGGGGATGAATTACTATGGGGGATGAATTACTATGGGGGATGAATTACTATGGGGGATGAATTACTATGGGGGATGAATTACTATGGGGGATGAATTACTATATGGGGAATGAATTACTATGGGGGATGAATTACTATGGGGGATGAATTACTATGGGGGGGATGAATTACTATATGGGGGATGAATTACTATATGGGGGATGAATTACTATATGGGGGATGAATTACTATAGGGGGGATGAATTACTATAGGGGGATGAATTACTATAGGGGGGATGAATTACTATATGGGGGATGAATTACTATATGGGGGATGTATTTTCAGTTTTAAAAATGTGGCTCTCAAAATAAATTTCAATCGTGGTTTTGGCGAGATTTGGCTCAGTTGAAAAAAAAGGTTGCCCACCACTGACCTAAGGCTATGATTGTGATTATGACGATACACTGTGGCCCTGATTAACCCTTTGCTTACTGGGCCCTTAAACCCCCTTCATGACCAGAGCGCTTTTTGCAATATATGCAGTGTCGGATTTGTTTTAAATGTTGCAATGGTTTTTGCGGCTCCCAGTCTTTTTTTCCCTCTCGGAAACAGGTCCAAGTGGCTCTTTATGTCTTAAAGGTTGCAGACCCCTGGCCTAGAGGAACCCCATTCTAAAATTTAAACAACTATTCTAATTGTTTTATATAATGAATCAACATCCACACATGTAGGACACCCAACAATTCGAAAGGATTTATTCTTCCAAATCAAATGCACTTTTGCACACTGGTACTAACTAGACATAAGAGGGGTGGTAGACAAGATATAGGGGCTCTCTAGGGCAATGTGAGCAAGCGTGGATTAAGAGGCGGTACTGCCACAAACAGAAGACCAATGCTCCCCAGTCCAGGGAGGTCCTCATAGACAACTGCAGGGATGTGAGGAACATTTTTAGGGTACAAAGAAAATGCCCCAGTGATTGGATACCTCCAACAGTGTCTGTCTGATACGACATACTGTAAGTCTTTGTCCAACAACAATTTGATCCACTGAGTTTCCCTACTTGGCAGGAACACAGGGTTATTGAAGAATGGAGGCACTGGGGTGTATAGAGATTTGCAGAAGGTGTGATAAGATGCAAGGAGTGGGAAATGGTAGGGCACCCCATGAGCCTCAATAGTCGCCCAATTGGTACATAAGAAGTGAAATAGAACTTTGTTAGCTTGGTTAAAGTGGTAGTAAACGCTATTTTCTTATAATAATGTAATTTGCCTGATAGCATGTATAAACAGAGGGTCTTTGTTGTTCTTGTAATTGTGATTTGGACCAAATACCTAATTTAGATTTTCACCATCAGTTGCAGGCCGTGGCAGAGGAAGAGGTCGTGGGCGAGGAAGGGGCCGTGGTAGAGGAAGAGGAGGACCAAGGCGATAGGTTTGCTAAGAAGATTAGTTTCACAATAATGAGAAATATCATTTTGTACAGATTTTGTTAACTTTTAACAAAGGATTGTTGAACTTGTGCTCATCCAAGCTGAGGTTTACTTACATTTTCCTTCTCCCTGTATTTGTTTTTTGTTTTTTTTATTTTTTTGAATAAAACTGTTAAATTTTCAATAAGTCCCCTATGTTTTGAGTTTTTATTTTATACCTTCTATGTCAGTGGGATGTGTAATATACTCCCAAATGCTATAGCAGCCAGAAGCGTTTACATTTTGTTTTTTTCTTCTGGCTACCAGCTTTCTAGCAGAAGTTATTTGGGTGGCTTTATAGCCACCTGACCACTTCTGTATGCTCAGAATCGTGCACTTAGCTCTGAGCACTTCCAGGTTCAGAGCTGTAATTTCATAGTTGCTTTGCTCAGCTAAGAAGGTAATGAAGTACAATATGCACAATGCAGGGGTGTCAGTAGGGTCTAAATAGACTCCTTCTGTGTTAATGTGCGTGTAAACGTTACATATATTGTGGCTTACCAATTCTCAAATGTAGCGCTTGTGTTCATTCCACACCCTTATTTTTACCTGGTGATCCAGCCAGTATCATACTTCCTGTCTTGGGGTGGTTTCACCCTACGAAGGCGCAGTGGAGCCACCCTTGGACAGCAGCGTGTTCAACCTCTGGAGAGGGGAGTGTTAGTCATTTTCATCTAAACTTCCTCATGTACCTAAAAGCTGAACTCTGGCTAACACTTTTATGCAATTACAGCAAGTTGTTTTTTTTTTTTGTTTTTTTTCCTTTTGGGATAAAGGTTTTGCATAAATAAAAGATAACCAACGTAAGCACCCCTGTCAGCTTTGAAGGCTGTTCACCTTTTACATGATACAGTAGTTAAAATAAACTCTTCAGTTTGTAATATGTATCATTTCATGCAAGTGCCATACCTGTAGGCCTTTTCTGTCATCCTTTGAGACCCGGCAGAAATACCCTGTGTGTGTGCGTGCGTGTAAATTATATATCTACATGGCAAATAATCTATTAGTAGTTGTAGAACAGGGGTCTCTAATCTATGGCCTTCAAGCTGTAGAGGTACTGCAAGTCCCGTTCTGCCTCTGGGAGTCTTGCCTGTGGCTGTCAATCTTGCAAAGCCTCATAGGACTTGCAGTTCCTCAGCAGCTGGAGGGCCATAGTTTGGAGACCCCTGTTATAGAGTAATAGAAAACCAACGGTCATGACATTCATACTGCTGATTCAGTGTAATTGAATCATTAATTGAAAGGGGTGTGTTAAATAATAACAGTGTGGTGTTCAATTGGTGAACTCATTCAGTCTGTGGAAAAAGGCAACGAATGTTGTACATGCTGGGTATAGTGCATTTCTCTCTGAAAATCTTGAGTAAAATGGGTCATTCCAGACATTGTTCAGAAGAACCGCATACTTTGATTAAAAAGTTTATTGGAGAGGTGAAAACACAGAAGTGCAGAAAACTGATAGGATGCTCTGCTAAAATGATCTCAAATGCTTTAAAACAGCAACCAAAACCAGAAAGACATGGAAGAAAATTGAAAATTACCATTCAAACGGATCGAAGAATAGCCAAAATGGCAAAGACTAAGCCAATGATCATCTCCAGGGTGATCAAAGAAGGTCTAAAGTTACCTGTGAGTACTGTAACAATTCGAAGACTGTGAAGCCAAGCTAGATTGTAACCTCTTCAGCACATCGTTTTTTCAACAATTTGCCAAAGAACACATTGACTGGCCTAAAGACAAATGGTGCAAAATTTTGTGGACTGATGAAAGCAAAATTGTTCTTTTGGGCCTATTTATCACATACCAGGGATCATGGATCAGTTTGAATACATCAGAATACTTGAAGAGGTCATGTTGCCTTATTCCGAAGAGGAAATGCCCTTGAAATGGGTGTTCCAACAAGACAACGACCCCAAACACACTAGTAAGCAAGATGCCAACAAAATTAACATGGAGTGGCCAGTCCAATCCCCGAACCTTAATCCACTAGAAAACTTGTGGGATGACATAAAAAAATGCTGTTTCTGAGGTAAAACCAAGAAATGAAGAGGAATTATGTAATGTGGTGCAATTGTCCTGGGTTGGAATAACTGTTCACAGGTGCCAGAAGTTCAACTCCATGCAACACATGTGAAGCAATTTTCAGAAACAGTGCTTATACAACTTTAGTTCAGTGATTCACAGGAAAGCTAAATCTTCAAATATTTTTCAGTTTATACAGTAAATGTTTGAGTTTGTAAAGAAAAATGCAGACACTTTTTTTTTTTCCAATAGCCTACTATTCCTTTTTCCTCACTTTTTGTAACGTAATAACAAATTTGAACCGTTTTTCTGCATGTTTTGATTTGGAATAGACTACAGCAGGCCTTGAAATTTCCGCTTGCCAATGGCGAGTGGAAATTATGTTGGGGGCGAGTTTGCCCCCCAGGGGCGTATTTGCCGCAAGGTAAACAAGGTGTTTTCCTAGGGTGGCACTTTTTAGGGGGGGGGCAGCACAGCGGCAACGCCGCCCCCCTCTTTCCCACGGAAGGGTCACTTAGTGGTGGGCTGCTGTGTCTTACCTGGGTCCGCGACTCCCACGTCGATCCAGTCCACATTCGTTGCTGGAGGAAAGGGGTAGGGAGGTTGTCAGCAGGTCCGATGTCTTCATTTCCCTGGATTGCGATGTGTGCCACACCCCTGGGATCACTCAACAGCCTACAGCTTGTCCCTCCCTCTGCAAGCTCCACCTCCTTGCCGATGATTGGCCGCCGGAACCGTAGCTCAGGAAAGGCACACACGCAGCCAATCAGCGGTGAGGAGGTAGAGCTTGGAGAGGAGGAGCCGAGCAGGAGAACGAAGATCAAAGAAGGGAGGGAGCAGCCGGCGCAAGTGAAGAGGAGAGCGGCCAGAGAAGGAAGACAGCTGACCGGTAAGTGTCTGTGCCGTGCAGATGGAGCTGCTGCTGCAGCCAGGTATGCTGGCTGTGGATGAGGGAGGGAGCGAGCCCAGCTGGAGCAGGGGTCAGCAAGGTGTCATTGGTGTCAGTGCGAGGAATAGTGTCCCATCATTGGTGTCACTGATAACAATGATGGGGCACTATTCCTCCCACTAACACCAATAATGGGGCATTATTTTTCCCCCCCACTGACACCAATGATGGGGCACTATTCCTGACACTAACGATGGGGAACTATTCCTCCCCGCACTGACACCAAGGATGGGGCACTACCCACCCCCACCCACCCCCCCCCCCCTCACTGACACCAATGAAGGGGCCCTATTTCCCCCCCCCCCCCCCCCACTGACACCAGTGATGGGCCACTATTCCTGACACCAACGATGGGGCACTATTCCTCCCCGCACTGACACCAAGGATGGGGCACTATCCCCTCCCCCCCACTGACACCAAGGATAGGGCACTATCTCCCCCCCCCCCCCCCCCCCCACTGACACCAATGATGTACATGTATCTGTGTATGCGTGTCTATGTGCGTGTACATGTGTCTCTGTGCATGTATGTGTGTGTATGTACATGTCTGTGTGTGTGTATAGGTGTCTCTGTTTGTGTGTGCTTGTTGGTGGTGAGTAACTCTTAAGCCCTGGCTAGTAGCTCAGGACTTGAAATTTTAAGCCCTTGACTATAGTGTTCACAATGCATTTCTGTGTATGGAAATAAAAGCTATTATAAGGATTTTGATCTTTATTCACTTTTTAAACACACTGCTCTTATTTTTGTATTTCAATAGTTTTTATTAGTAATTTGAAACGTTTTAGACAAGGAAAACTGCAGCAAAAGGCACGCTCCCGTAGGAGCTGTCAATGGCACATAAAACACAAAAGAAACAATGCTGTACCACCAGCAGTACAAAAGGCACGCCCACGCAGGGGCTATCAATGGATGAGAAAATACAAAAATACAGTGTTATAACAGCAAAGCAAAGGTAGATATCTACCGCCTCACAAAAATCAGACAAGGGGAAAAAAAAGAGTAAGGAAAGAAGAAGCCAAGACCAACAGCAGAGATCCGGGAACTCCAATACTGATCAAAAACCTGAACCCAGACTAGCGGGGGGGGAGAGTGGGAAAAGTCTATGTCAACCACAGCTCCCAGATTTTCAAAAAATTTGCGTTGGGAGTCATTACGGATACTCAACATTTGTTCATTAAGAATCAGAATGGTCATCCGGTCCCGCACCACCTGAAGAGGGACAGATGTACTTTTCCAAGCTTGGGCAATTGTTCTAGTTCCTGACAAGAACAAATAGGAGGCCAAATTCTGCTGGTGAGCCAACAAGCCTGGTATGGGGCAATGAAGCAAAGCATATCAGGCTTTGCAGCATATGGAAAGATGGAACAAGGTGTAAAGAAGGCCAAATACACGAGACCAAAACTGAATCAGTCTCGGGCATGACCACCATATATGTAACACATCTCCACAATGGCCACAACCCTGAAAGCAGCGATTGCTATAGGTAGAGTTTGCCTGGACTATACGAGCCGGGACCCATTACCAACGGAACAGTACTTTGTATGCCACCTCCAGCATGTTTGTGTTTAATGAACATTTAGCTATAAACGACCAGGCCTTATTCCAGTCCTCTGGATACATGACTACCCACAAATTGCGCTCCCATTGATCAACATACAATAGATAAGTACGTGTCGAGCGCCCATTCAAAGATGTATAGAGGAGGGAAACAAGACCCAGGGCGCTGCTGGAAAAGCTGTTCAAAGGCAGATTTCTGATATGGGAAAGTGGAAGTGCCACGCAGTGGTCGGCCAATGCTGCAATTGAAGATAACGGAAAAATTCCACCTGGGGAACATACAGTGATTCTCAAAGAGAATTCCAGGTGGGAAAAGACCAAGAAGTCTTGAAATGTAGCACCTGCGAAAAACCATTGGCCACCCACCAAGAGAACGTCCCAGGTTGGTCTAAACCTGGTGGGAAGAGAAGATTATTAGCGATTGGAAGCAGGGGTAGA